TGCAGAGCTGTTGGGCTCTTTTCCCTGAGCAAACAGATGGGAGCAGCACAGCATCCGCTCACAACCCTTTTTCTAACTGGGATTGCTGGGAGGACAGGTGCATGTCCTGCTGAGCCTTCCTAGCAGGTGAGCGCTTTTGGGATGTCACTAGCTGTCACTGGGCATCGAGCTGGCACCACCGAGCCCATTTTTCCCAGGGCTTCCATAACTTTTCAAGCTTCAGATTCACCATTTTCCATATCCTCCAGTTCAGTCTGGATGTTGCAGTGCCGGCAGATATGTTTTCTGGCTGACAGCCCATTTTAGATGGCTGGGGTCGGGGTGTTGGTGCTGGTTCAGACCGCAGCAGGGTCTCTGTCCCCAGGTGTGATGACCACTGCTCAGCCTGCGAGGGCTCCAGTGGAAACTGCCTCAAGTGTAAAGAAGGTTTCAGCCTCCTTGGTGGCTCCTGTGTAACAAATGAAACCTGCACCAATGGTAAGTAGTTGTGGCAGAATTGCTGGCCTGTAGTTCTTCTCCGGTAGCAAAAATTAGGGTTTTTGGGGATTCCCTTCAGAGCAGAAAAGCTGAAAGCAGCTCCTGGGCTTGCTGGGGCATGGCTACAGTGAGCTGGGCTCCGGCTGTGGTGGGCAGGCAGGTTACCTGGCAGAGCTGCTGGATATCTGCCTGTTGCTCAAATGCATCCAAGCGTTTGTATTTTGTTATAGTTTAGTCTTGGGGCTAATTCTCCCACTCACTGCAAAGCTGCTTTATCCCTACTTTAAAACCATGTGAAAGATGCCCTTCAAAAGCGACTCCTTTTCAATTCTCTCTCCTCCAACACTGGAACGAATTGCACCGCCTGTTACGTGCGATGTTTGTTTATTTAAAATGTTAATCTGCTCTCATTTTCTCTTGTTCCTCGCCTCGGCCTCCCAGCTGACAAGACTTTCTGTGAGATGGTGAAATCAAACAAGCTCTGTGAAAAGAAGCTGTTTGTACAGTTCTGCTGTCAGACGTGTCTTATGGCCGGGTAAAGTTCAGCAGCTGCATCCATCCAGGACTTCCACCAACTGCCAGCCCAGTTTTGCCAAATGTTTAGGACAAAAGTTTATTTTTTCAGCTTTGGGAGAGTTTACATGGTGCTGTCAAGCATTTGCTTGTAAGTTTGATAGCTTTAATATCACTGTCAGCAGGTTTCTATAGCAATATGTTAAGCAGAGATTGGATCGTACCCTGAATGATCAAGTCCTGAAAGGCAGTGGACAAGCGGTGATATTAATACTCTCAAACACTCCTCGTGAGCAGGGACCGATGCATGATCCATGTACACACGCTTGGTTCTTTGCAGAAATCCTACTGATCTGCCTGGTCTGAGCGGCTGGCGGGAGCCCTCGCTGCAAAGGATGCAGGACTTCACACATCTGCGAAGAAAGAGCTGTTTCTGGCTCAATTGTTGGTACCTTTTTCTGCTAGGTGACGGCTGATATAAACCTGCATTGCAAATGGCCGGCGCTGTGCTCTGTACATATGTAAAACGATGAATTAGGTGGTTCCTGGAGCAGTGCCCTAAAGCCTGCTCTGGCACTCCTGTTCAGATTCGGTCGGTAGCTGTTTCACTCTGGCTGTGGCAATAACTGGAGATTTGAGGACCAAAGCGAGAGCTGATCCACGTGGCTCTGCAGGCGTGTAAGCCCAGTGAGTCCAGCAGGGCTTTGCCCTGCAGGTAAATGCAGCCAGGCAAAACCTGTGTGTCTACAAGGGAGTCCTAGGGGCTCGGGTGTTTGTCCGCACGGACCAGCCTGTGGGGTCACAGCCTTACCATGAAATGTATTTCCCTCCTGGAACTGCTAGTATGTTGCTGATTAATTCAGTTCTGGAATGAGCTAGATCCTTCCTCTAAACGAGATGGTGTCCCAGTTAATCTCTTCCAGCATTTTGCGTTACGATCCTTCCCCTGTTTCACTGGGTATACCCCTCTCTCTCTCACAAAATCTTCCTGTTCACGGCAGTGATTTTTCTTGGGCATCTGTTTCCAAAAAAGACGTTCCAGGGATCCGGCCAGGAAACTCTTGATTCTACAAAACCCTTCCCCGAAACAAACCTTTTCATGCTCTCTCTTAATAGTAAGTCACGTGGTGTTTATATAATTGTGTTTAAAATATCCTTCGCTATGTTGTTTTACAGATTTTAAAAAAATAACTTATACAATCCTTGTTTTTTCTCTGTGGACTATTTTTTATATGGGAGTGGGGAATCTTTTTGTGTCTTACGTCCTTCTCCTTTTCTCCTCTCTGACCTTGCAGACCCACTCTTTGCACCAGACATATGTAAACACTCTTTCCTACTCTGCATGTTCTGATTTTCATTGTTAACAGTTTTAATGAGTTAAACCTTTTGCCAATGAAATTCACAGTACAAATTGTCACCAGTTCCTCACGGAGCTGGGATAATCCCTGCTTGGTTTCGGTTGCAATGACACGCGCCCTGCCTGGGCTTGCCCGCTAGAGCTTACCTCAGCCAGGTGAAGAGGGGAGAGCCACACCGTCACCGGTCCTCACCTGCCTGGACCAAACCCAAGGAAAGATGGAGCTTTGGTGAACTGACCTTTAAGTTAATAAACTATTGATCTCCCCTGAAAAATGAATCTGTGCTTTTTCCAAATTCATACAGCCGCCATCCTGACCAGAGACAGGACAAGGCAGTGATGCACCACACGTCATTATTTTGCTGGACAAAGCAGCTGTCCTGGCCAGAGCACCTGCAGGAGAAACGGCTCAGGAACAGATGAACTGCATCTGCGAAAACCTCACTTTGTTCTCATAAAGGTCTTTTAGGTTCAGAGGAAACTCGTATGCTGAATACCTGCCCTGTGCCAGGCTGGGCTGGCATCTCTGGTGCACCCAGGGCCATCTGGCTGGGGTTTGGGGCTGCGCTCGGGCATGGCTGGGTGTATTCTCTGGTTGTGGGGGATCCCAGATGAGCTGGCAGGAGGGATTGCTCCCCTTTCCCACCCGTACAAGGAGCATCCTGCAACCCCCAGTGCCCCACCACAGTTCACAGCAGCTGGGAATCACTGGTCCACTTTCCCATTTCTGCTGGGTGGGGAAGGAGAGGAGCAGCTGGTGCATTGGGGAGCGGAGGGAGCTGTGGAACCTTTTGTTTGTCACATTGGTTTTGCAATGTTTAACCATGGGCCAGGTGCCCAGGGTAGTGCCTGGATATCAGGAACTGAGCTTTTTAAGTGTGAAAAAAAGAAAAGAACAGAGGCCTCCCATGAGGGAAGATGCTTTCTCAGAGCTGTGCTGCTGTGGGCTCCCGCATCTTACAGGTCTTCACATTTATCAGATGATAAATGTGAATTAATCAGATGATTTATCATGCACAGTGATTCATTCTGTTGCTCCAGGATTCCCCTTTCGGTCTTGGGCCAAACCAAAGGTCAGAACTGGGTGGGGTGAAATCCTCCTGGCTTCTGCCCCTTTGGTTGTAAAATAACAAACTTTCATTTCTGTTGCTGTGTCACGCAGTCAAAAATGGGGAGCTGTGAATAAGGAGTACTGCGTCAGCTCTGCCTTTCAGTTCTCTGGCTCACAGTGGCCTGCCTCTAAATACTGCTCACTGGTATATTTAGATGTACTGAAATGCTAAAAAAAAAGGAAAGATGTTTACCCTTACATCCTTGGCATAACTTAAAATACACACTGGGTGAAGCAATGTAATTTAAGATGACCAATCCCCAGCAGTCCCAGCTTTATCCTGCTTTCTGCTGCCCTCCAGCCTGCCAGGGAAAGAGAAACAAATTCTACATGTCAAGTTCATGCAACAACATCCGCTTCCAGTGTTTCCCAGGGCACTAACTCCTTCAGAAATCATTCTTGGAAAGTAATAAAATTCAGATAATTTATGCAGCTATTGCAATGCTTGCTTGGAGCTATTAAAGTCTCTCTGACACTGGTACATTCAGAGGATCAAAGTGGCTGTGTCTTCAAGATAAATGCATATTTAGGCAATTTATTAAAGCCCATTTCTCTATTGTCTCTTGGCACCAAAGCCAAATCTATAATAGCTGTTTTCTGGAAAATCTTCTTAGAGCAGCCTGACTCCTCGTTTTCTGTTTGGCTGTGAAGTTGCATCCACGGCCATCTGCCATTTTGTAGTTGGCAGGTGGGGAACACACATCTTAAAAATCATTGCTTTGACTTTCCATTACAAAGAAAGGGCTTTTAAGAGCTCATGTACAGCATCTGAGACCAAGAATCTGTCTGCTCTCAATTACAATTCTATTACGGCTGTAGAGCTGAGGCATACAGCTGTGTTGTGCTAAGGGAGAAAGGTCCATGTTTTATTTGGCCTTGTCAGAGATAGGACCTGCTTTCCAGGAGGCTGAAGAGGGTCTCCTTTTAATGACTGCCTGAGATGACTAAAGACTGTGTTGTCTTTACCACCGCATGATTTCTGAGTCACGTACAGCAGTGCTGCTAATTCTTCATTTTTGCTTATGACAGTGCGCTCTCTTTTTCTTGCTCTCTCCTAACTGCTTTTAAACAAATGCAGATGTTATAAAAAAAACTGGCTACGTGCTTTCGTATACAGCTTTGGTGAGGGTGGTTTTTTTAAGTAGGGAGCACAGGAGCTGCTTGACCCCAGCTGACACCTCCGCAGGGATCTCCAGCCAGAACAGAGCCAGCTCTGACGCTGTGGTCTTGGGGAACGAGCCAGGCATCACTCTCAGGGTGATGCTGCTAGATGCTCCCAAAAGAAAAGCATGAGCCATCACTGTGCAGTGCCAAACGTGGCTGCAGAATTTAACTTATTATCACATCCTTTGGGTTCACAGAAATGTCACAGCTCATGAAAAAATCCTTCCCTCGATAGCAGTGGATCCAGAAATCATTCTGCCTCATATTGCTCAGGGGGCCTTGAGGGCTGGGGAAGTATTTCTCCAGGGCTGCAGAAGCGGTGCTTGGTGACATTCAGCAGGATTTGGGACCTGGGGGTGGTAAACTGCTTCCCTTCGCATGCCACCTACAGTCTACATCATCCGCACTGTCGTTCCACCCCCTAAAAAGCCCTCCTGCTGCCAGGTGAGCCCTGTTAGTGTGGCCAAGCACCTCGGCCGCAGCAGCCCAGCACTGATGCCAGGCAGCACGCCAGCCTTGGACCTAGCAACCCGCTTTACATTGAAGTGGAGGTGCCTGGCCAGACACAGCAGTCTGAGCCATCTCAGCTCCCCCAGTGCTACCCCTGGCTCTTCCTTGCTGTTCTCCTAATTCCTAAAGCGGTTAAGAGGGGACGTAGTGACACTTGAAAGCGCGTTTTATCTTGCAGGCAAACGGTGAATATCACGCTGCAGCCTGTGCCATGTTCCCAGCCCATGATGGCTTCTGAGACCAGGAACGCACATGGAAGTGCCAGAGCAACTGTCTCAAATGCTGCAGGGGGAAGGTGTTTATGGGCAACCCTGTGTCCAGGAGCAAAGGCTGAGCTGCTGCTTGGATGGAGGAGAGAAAGCACCAAGAGCTGTAATTGTTGTGGGAAGCCGTTCTGGCTGCATAGCAGGAAGGGAGCAGCATGTGTTTGAACAAGCACAGTCCCACCGGCTAAGCGCACGAGAGCCAACTCTGTCCAAAGGAAAGCAGCTTGCTTGCTGCCAGTCATCTGCGTGAAGCAGATTCCCAGCCTGCTCTGCCTGGATTTCTCCAGACTTAGCCTGCGCTCGGCTGAGAGGGAACCTCTGGTGACATCTTTGTGCTGCTTTAGGGTACTAGTGACAGCAAAGCCAAGCCCCTACTTAGTTTGTTGGTCGATGTGCTCAGGCAGAGGGCTGGGTGCCGGCCCCTGCCCGGCTGTGGGCTGCAGGGAGGCCTGGGGTGGCCAAGGGCAGCGCATCGCCCCAGGGCAGGGGGGGAGCGTGGAGGAACCTCACCTCAGCAAGGAGAGCTTGTGCAGCCAGCAGACTCCCAGGAGGGATGGCCGCCCTCCTCCCCGGTACTGCCGCAGTCAGACCAGTCGGCTCTGGGGGACTGGGGTGCCGGGGAGGCACCCCGGGGCCGGTTTTGCTAAGGGCAGAGGCGTTCGCAGGACACCGGGTCCCTCTGCCGACGAGCTGCCGCAGCGCTGCCACTGCCGTTGCCGGAGGATGGCTGCACGGCCCCGGCCCCGGCCCCGGCCCCGGCCCTCCCTGCAGCCGTGAGGTTTCAACCGCACGGAAAATTACCGTGAAAAGAGCTCGAAGGGGGTGAGATTGAGGAGGGGACCGAGGGCGGAGGAGAACGGCCTGGCTGGGGCGGGGAGCTGCAGGATCGCCCCTGCTCCCCGTCAGGGCGCAGCGCCCTCGGAACCCTCCGACTGGGCCTGCCGGCACCGGGCTGCCGGGGCAGGTGGGGCAGGGGGGGGGGGCGAGGGCGCCCGGCCCGGGGCGGGGGGAGGCCGCCGCTGCCGCCCCGCTCCCCTCAGCCCGCGGAGGAGGCGGGGAGGAGAGGGCGGGCCGCGGGGCGGTGCCTGCCTCTCGCTGCCTCGGCGCTCGGCTGATCGGCCTGGCGCGG